CTTCTTATGACAAATGGTAGCGCATTCCAAAGTTTCGGTGCAGCACAGGTAAAAGAACGGTCACCTAGTGTAGCTCTTCTATTGTGAATTATCTTTACTTTTTTGTGAGATCTAGTTTCACTTATTTGACCAATTCAGTAGGTATAAATTAGAGAAATAAGCAAAAAGCAATTAAAATTAATATCTACCTTTCCTTCGAATTCTGGTCCAAGTGCTTTAGTATTTCCGTTTTCCAGGAACATTTTTAACAGTTTGTAAGCCTTTAGGGTAAGACACTTATGCAACTTCTTCGAGCCGGACTTGGAAACGTAAAACCAGACTTCTGCCTGTTCATCTTTTTTGCTTGGGTCGGCGCAGTTCTTCTCTACGTTGATGAAAATTATCCTGTCTGGAGATACCCTGGTGCCATTTTTGTCGTACAAGCTCCACGCAGTCTTTTGCTTTAGAGTGTGCTCCAGTTTAGAGCAAAACTCGCCCCATGTGATTCCTAACTTCACCTTGACGTATAGGTTAGGTTTCTGCTCTATGGGAGGGGTACCTGAGGAGCCTGGCTCTTTCGTAGGGTCGGTCTTGCTAGTTGTCGTATCGGTTGGTTTCGGCGGTTTTGGCGGCTTCGGACACACGAAATGGTCGTAATCTCCGACGGCGTATTCGGGCGACGTCGGTGTAAGAGTGACGATCTTCACTCCGCCGTCGTAAACAGGTCTGTCTCCGCCACACTTGTACAAGTATTCATTGAACTGACCACGAGAATCAGGAGCGGCTGGTCTTACATACACGAAAAACCATGCTTGTACCATCCGTTGCTTTTTATAGTAACTTCCATAAACACATTTCCATTCTTGTAACTCGGCTTTGATGAAATGTTCGTAGTTTTTCAGACGGTTCATGTATTCTACGGAAAGATTTTTAGCCCCTTGCGGTTTAGAGTCACAGTCAGTCATATTAAGTCTGATCCGAATTCGAAACTCTTTCTGTGTTAGTGTGTTAGGGTTTATGTAAGCTTTGAAGGTTTTCACCACTGTTGTATTCCCGATTTTTCCTCGATTAACATTTTCTTTCAGTGGCTTCATTGCTTCATTGGGCTGATCTGGAGCGCCTGTCTTCATCCCTACCTTAACAATTGCTGTTCTGTTGTCCTTCATCAACTCTACCGTGACATATCTGTAGTCAGTGTCATTCTCGAAAATTCTTTTGATGGTCTTCTCCAGCTCCTTGATAGTCTTTCTCCTATTTTGAGAAGGTGTGGTCAGGTTAAAAGAAACATAAAACTGCTTCTCTCCTGGAATGTACGCCTGCCACTCAGTAATTACAGTCAAATTTCCCAGTTGACCCTCATTCACTTTCGCTTGAAGACCTTGAAGCTGCTTGTTTGGATTTTCTGTGGATGGTTTCTCCACTTGAACCCGAACTGTTACTATGGTAACGTTTTCTGGGTCTGGGCATGTGACTTTTTGAAGTGTTACTGTTTCGTTACCGGGCAACGCTTCCTGTACTGCATGGATCAAGCTTTTGCTTTCTTTAAAACCTTTGAGCTCGCGAGTATCATTGCATTCGGCCTTTATCATAAGCACGACATCGAATAAACTTCCAGAGAATAGGGTCTTCGTTACAGGAAAAGAGCCTATCTTTCCACTTGAAGTTTGGTTTCGAAGTATTTCTTTGACACGTGTTTCAGGCTCTTTTGTACTAATTTTCAAAAAGGCTAACACACTCCCAGGTTTCAGCTCGATAACCGTCGCATTCGAGCTGACATTTTTGGCGTCAAGGGTATTTTTAACAGCTTTTGTTATATTAGACTCCAAATCAATGTAGTCCTGGCTTGATTTGTTTAAAAATTCCATTTTCCAAGTGATGTTTACGAATTCCATGATTACATTGAATGAGGTGTAATTGAGAAACTGCGATGGTTCAGTTGGAGTGACAACAGTAGCAGTAGATGCCATAACATTCGTTGAAGGAGTCGGAGATATGGCGCTCACTTCCGAAACCTTTGCAGTTAAAGTGGAACCTGCAATTTACCGCAGAAATGTCGGAGTTATGGGCAACTCAAACTTGACACAGTACACTAGGCAACCATTTTTTAGTATTTTTCTTTTACAAATGAAAGGTGCTTAATAGGGTGTTAGGTAGGGTTTACCGGTTAAACCGCTTAATATGATATAATATGTGTTAATTCCACGATGTTATGCCGGCCACAGTAGGTTTTTCATTTAATCACATCTGCACATTGTATGGTTGTCAACTAACAGTCGGTCTTTTAAAACTCATGCACTTCAGTCACTGTATTGTTTGTATTTCAAAATGAAGACCTTAAAGACCTTAATGGCTTAAAAAAAGTCTTCATGTGGTTGCTTATAACCCCCGTTTTATGTAGTATTTTATAATAAGTCCATATAACATGGCTGATAACTTCTTTTTATAGATTAGTGCGAAGCTCAGAACAGTGTTCTCGTCGAATTGCTTTTTCGTGTCAAACATTTCGTCTGTTTATTTTCAGTTGTTTTGATGGTTTGCCTTGGTTTCTGTTTGCCATTAAGCGGTAAACAATGATTTCTAACAGCACAGTTTCACTTAACATCGTCACGAGATCACGTGAAAAGAACTAAAATTAAGAAAGGGTTTCAAATGAGAGCATAGAGTAGAATTTATAGTGCATGTTATGTTGGACTTACTCTGGGCGTTGACCAAGATGGCGGAGATGGCTAGAAAAAGAACCGTCTTCAGCATGAGCCCCAAATAACTCTGTTGTCTTGAAAAAAGGGACATGTTTTACTGCAGAATGTCGAATAACTACAACAGAAAAAAAGAGCATTTGATAATTGAAATTGAACAAGATTACTTGAACTCAAGAGCATCTGAATTGCAGAGAGAAATCCCAAGATGAGATTTTACTTCGCAACATTGCTGGACAAAAAAAACTTCCAATGTGATTAAGTTTGACTAAGTAAAGTTACGCAACATTTTAATTAAAGAACGAACCGAGTTTACTTTGACAAAATCTCCACACAGCCAAAATCGAAGTTCCCCAGAACTAAATTTTTCGCACTCACCTCTCTGAAACTTCTTCAAGCGAGTCCTACAAAGAGTTTCGTTCCACCCACAAGTTCGCACCGGGTAAAAAGCTGAAGTGCTCGCATTCTTATGTTAGAGCTTTAGTTTACTTTGCCTTTATGTAGACAATATGTGTGCGTAATTCCTACAAATCTTTTGCTTACTCAAGAAAGTTAAGGCATTGTTCCCAATGACAGTTGACTAGTGTCGAACTAGTGTAAAAGCATTACGCCAGGTCGAGATCCGGGGGAGGGGGTACTCTATGATATGGGCTATATAGGTATGTGCGGCCCCAAAGGGTAGGATTTTTCAGCTGTCTTGGTCATAAATAGGGTATCGATTTTGGCTATTTTGGTTATAAATAGGGTATGGTTTTAGCACTCTAGCCTTGAATTGGGTATGTTTCTTAGAAGAAGCTACTTTCTCATCAGTATCAATAAGACCGTCAACAAAAGCCCTTCATAACTTATGTTTGGAGCAACTGTGTCAGCCGCAGCCGTGACGGTCATAAACAGGCCATCGAATTTTTGGTGAGGTCATAAATAGGGTAGCAAAAACGCAGATTTTGATCATAAATAGGGTGAGGGTTTTGGGAAGTGGGCTGCACACCCCCACCCAACTTTTCTGGAAGTCCCCCCCTCCTCCCCGGGGCCGAGATCTTTCTGTCGTAACTACAGGAGTCGAAATTGAAATGACTTTTTTTCATTCCGAGACGTACAAAACTGTCCACTCGTTCAATATGGCTTAGTTACTAAGGCTAAATTTTCGAAAGAAAGAATAGCTCGACTCAATGATCTTGAAATATTTTATGCTTAGCAACCTTGAAAGGTTTTCGCCTTGTTGTTCGATAAGGGTGCAGGCCCAAGCAGGTTTCCCCATAGCGATCAAAATTGTAATCCTCCCTTAACCAAGATTTATTATAGAAGCATTTTTTAAACGTTCCATTAAATGTAAAACACTCTGATCGGTTTTTGGCAACAAATTCATGTTCAAAGCTAAATCGTTTAAACTTACACAATGATAACAAAAACGGGCAGAACTATGATCAGCCGCTCTAATGGTTGCTCCGTGTCAATATTTGCATCACAGGGGACTCGGACGCTTTATCAGCAATGAAAATAAATGTACTGTTATTTACCTGTGTTCCTGTGTCTTTTTGAGTCGTTTAGAAGGGATTTGAA